CCCGCCCCCCCCCGCCCCTCCGCGCCGCCCCCGCCACAGACGCCGCGACCCCCTCCCGCCCCGCGCCCTCAGAGGGGCACAGCCCGGAAGTGCTCTCCAGGCCCGGCCCCTGCCCACGGAAGCCGGAAGTGGGGCGTCAGCAGCCGGCGCGTCGCCCTCCGCGGGCCGTGCCGCACCATGCTCCGTGGACCAGGCCACCTCCTCCCGGCCCCCGTAGCACTGGCCGCGGCCCTGGCTGCGGCGCTGTTCTCGTCGCTCGCGCGCTGTTCTTTCTTGGAGCCCAGAGAGCCGGTGGCCTCGGCCCTCAGCCCTTACTTCGGCACCAAGACTCGCTACGAGGATGTCAACCCCAGGCTGCTGTCCGACCCCGAGGCGCCGAGGCGGGACCCGGAGCTGCTGGATGGGACTTGCACCCCGGTGCAGCTGGTCGCCCTCATCCGCCACGGCACCCGCTACCCCACGGCCAAACAGATCCGCAAGCTGAGGCAGCTTCACGGGCTGCTGCAGGCCCGCGGGCCCGGCGACGGCAGCCTGGGCGCGGCGCTGGCCAACTGGCCGCTGTGGTACGCGGACTGGATGGACGGAGAAGTGGCGGCAGGACGTGCGACAGCTGGCGCTGCGTCTGTCCTCTCTCTTCCCGGCCCTCTTCAACCGCGAGAACTACGGCCGCCTGCAGCTCATCACCAGCTCCAAACACCGCTGCGTGGACAGCGGCGCTGCCTTCCTGCAGGGGCTCTGGCAGCACTACTACCCCGGGGTGCCGCCGCCTGATGTTGCAGGTGACCGCCTGGCGCGTGCCCTGCCTTGGTCCTCCCTGTGCCTCCCAACTTCCCCAGCTCCAGCCTGTCCTCACTTTCCAATCCTCCATTCCTCGGGCTGCATCCTCCCTGGGCTCGGGATGTTTCAGATTCCCCTGCCTCCCTTCACCCTCACAGATGTACCATATACTCATTCATCACGTATGACTTTATCACCCCCTATATGCCGGACACTGTAGTAGATGTTGGGGACCCAGCAGGAAGGAGACGGGTGAAGTCTTCTTGCAGTTTTTGATCTCTCATTCCCGCATTGAATTGTCTGCTTTGAACGCCCACCCATCTCTTCAGTCTTCCTTGCAGTTAGTTTTACAGTTAGGTGCACTTAAAAAAAAGTAAAGAAAAAAAAATCTACAACTTTCTTCCTCATGCTTTGATTCTGGTACTTTTTTTGTTTTTTAAACTTATCATCTTGTCCAGGTGTCCACTATAGACCTACACCCTGCTTTAGGAGGCTGCTTTCAAGCCTTTATGTGCTGTTTTTCTTGTTTTGTCCTTGTACTTATCATAGAGTTCTCCTTATGGTAGCTGTGGTCCATGGTCACATGAGGCACCTTACTAACTGAGATCTCAGCTAATGGAGCCCTTTAATTTTACAGGTGAAGCTGAGCCCTTATGCCTCTTTGATTGTCCTTCTCTAGTTTGAGGACTAGTCATGCCCAGAATCCTTGACTGTTTTCTCACAGTGGTGCTTTTACCTCAGAGAATGTTTGGTAGTCACATATAATGATAGCAAACACTAATGATGTTTTTGTTTCTCAAGATTTGAGAAACAAAAACTCTAAATAATTTGTCAATTTTATATATAGACCCAGGAAATACAATTCAGAGTTTGCTCTCTTAGCCATTTTGTTCTTTGGCTTCCATTTATACTGTAGCATATGTGGTACAAACCAAAACATGTAGTGGTTTTATTCAGAGAGATGAACAAGTGTTAATAGCTTCTGGATCAGTTTTAAGGCTAGTGATGGCCTAGCTTGGTGGCACACTTGGTAGCAACTGTAGTGCTGGAGGTCACATGGCTCATTTTGAGTCCAAATGCCAGGATTGTCTTGAAAATATACTGGCTGGGTGCACAGGTACCCAAGATCCTGAGAAAGGGCATCCTAGGGTGTCCAAACTCTGTTGAGGATGCTTCTCTTTTTTGTTGTTTTACACACACACACAAACATACACATGCTCACATGTTCTCTATCATGAAGGAGATAAGTAAACTTAAAAAACAAAAAAAGGTTAGAGTTGAAGTGAGGAACATCGTTTAGTTTCAGAGACCAAGTAAAAAACAAATTACAGGTAAACTGGTTTTTCATTTCTCCTGTGTCAATTGAGCAGTTAAACCATGTTCAAGGGATTTCATTGACTCTGTCATTTTATTTCTGTGTGAGTAACTCAGTTGGCTGACTTGTGTTTAGACACCTGTTGAATTGTGCTTTTGTTTACAGCTAAATTCTTTCTATTCACCTGAATGAATTCTCCACAGATCTATAAAGTTAACTAAATATTGAAAGCAAAATATGCTTTTTTTAAAATTTAAACTTTATTTTTTTAGTTTGCAAGAGGCCATGCATGTGTGTTAGGGAGAGAGAAGGAAGATGAAAAGGCCCCTGCATGGAGAATGATCATGCTGCAGTCTCTTCTCCATTTTTCTCTCCTTTCAGAATTTTGGGCGTGCATGCACATGCACCCGCACCCAGTGTGTTTCTCAAGCTACTAGGTCTAGACTTGATCTACATAGTTGGCCATTTGGGATCCAGCCACCTTAACCACCATGCCACTATCTGGTTGAGAACATACTCTAATTTAGCACAGTTATGTATGTAGTACTGGACCTTCTGGGATGAATGAATTTTTGCCTTCAGATAACAATGTAATAAAGATTGATGGTTGCCTCGGAATACAAAACCAGGATAAAAATAGTTCAGAAAAAGCCTACCTGTCACCATTTTCTAATCTCAGAGATTAAGTCCTTCGCCTAGCTACTTTGTTACAAACTAGACTATTATTTTATCTGTTGTATACATTTTTTTTTGAGAGAGGCCACTGAATTAGATTTATATTTTATAGAAATAGAACAATGCCTTTGTTTTCTGTTTATAGAGCAGCAGTAATTAGACAAGGATGAAATATCCATATTTACTTGGGAAATCGTATTTTGAGGCCATAAAAAATATGGCAGAATTCACTTACCTTCCTAGTCAAGGTATTGTTTAAGAATTATAGTCCAATTGACAATTAAAATGGGCAGAATTATCCATGTCAGGGGCTACACTTATGCATACACATGTATATTTTCCCACAGACATCCAAAGCAAACTGGTGTAACTTTTAATTTCCTTATGTTTTAGATAGAAATAATATACTTGGTGTTCTTTTCTTGGTAAATTCCTGAGAAAGGGCATCCTAGGGTGTCCAAACTCTGTTGAGGATGCTTCTCTTTTTTGTTGTTTTACACACACACACAAACATACACATGCTCACATGTTCTCTATCATGAAGGAGATAAGTAAACTTAAAAAACAAAAAAAGGTTAGAGTTGAAGTGAGGAACATCGTTTAGTTTCAGAGACCAAGTAAAAAACAAATTACAGGTAAACTGGTTTTTCATTTCTCCTGTGTCAATTGAGCAGTTAAACCATGTTCAAGGGATTTCATTGACTCTGTCATTTTATTTCTGTGTGAGTAACTCAGTTGGCTGACTTGTGTTTAGACACCTGTTGAATTGTGCTTTTGTTTACAGCTAAATTCTTTCTATTCACCTGAATGAATTCTCCACAGATCTATAAAGTTAACTAAATATTGAAAGCAAAATATGCTTTTTTTAAAATTTAAACTTTATTTTTTTAGTTTGCAAGAGGCCATGCATGTGTGTTAGGGAGAGAGAAGGAAGATGAAAAGGCCCCTGCATGGAGAATGATCATGCTGCAGTCTCTTCTCCATTTTTCTCTCCTTTCAGAATTTTGGGCGTGCATGCACATGCACCCGCACCCAGTGTGTTTCTCAAGCTACTAGGTCTAGACTTGATCTACATAGTTGGCCATTTGGGATCCAGCCACCTTAACCACCATGCCACTATCTGGTTGAGAACATACTCTAATTTAGCACAGTTATGTATGTAGTACTGGACCTTCTGGGATGAATGAATTTTTGCCTTCAGATAACAATGTAATAAAGATTGATGGTTGCCTCGGAATACAAAACCAGGATAAAAATAGTTCAGAAAAAGCCTACCTGTCACCATTTTCTAATCTCAGAGATTAAGTCCTTCGCCTAGCTACTTTGTTACAAACTAGACTATTATTTTATCTGTTGTATACATTTTTTTTTGAGAGAGGCCACTGAATTAGATTTATATTTTATAGAAATAGAACAATGCCTTTGTTTTCTGTTTATAGAGCAGCAGTAATTAGACAAGGATGAAATATACATATTTACTTGGGAAATCATATTGAGGCCACGGAAAAAATATGGCAGAATTCACTTACCTTCCTAGTCAAGGTATTGTTTAAGAATTATAGTCCAATTGACAATTAAAATGGGCAGAATTATCCATGTCAGGGGCTACACTTATGCATACACATGTATATTTTCCCACAGACATCCAAACCAAACTGGCGTAACTTTTAATTTCCTTTGTTTTACATAGAAATAATATACTTGGTGTTCTTTTCTTGGTAAATTATTGGAGAAACGATTAAGATATGCATGTTTTGAATATGATGAAAAAACTCAAACTGTACTTCAGTAGTTGACACATGACTGAATGCTTTTCTAGTACATAGTTGTTGCCAATTTAAGGAGATAATGACCTATTAAATTCTAAGTGGAAGTTATCTGGTAGCTTCGGTTAGAAGACAAACCTAATCAAAACCACCTAGCATAGTGAAGTACAGTATACCTGAAGCATTAATATATTTTGTGCTGTTGTCAGTAGTTTGTGTCCAAAGCAAAATCTTTCATAAAGTAGCACAGGGTTGAAAGTTAACTAAGAGAATGAAATACTCTATTTTATTTCTACTCTCTTTTGGTTGAGAGTAGAAAAACAAATTGAATCTGTTGAATTCTCTTTTACCTTTATAATTAGAAAGTTTCTTAATTTTCAGCTTGCTTTGTGTGCCTGACAGAAGCAGTAGTACTTACATAACACAGTTTTGTACTTTTTTCAACATTTCCACCTAATTTTTTTTCCAGGTAAACATTGATTTCTGTTACCTTTATTTTATTGTGTAGTATTGACACAAGACATTATCTCCCTTGCCCCATTGCTTTAGTCTTTTCTAGCATATTCTCTCATGCAATACACTCATTATGAAAGGATAGTTTTACCCCCTCTCTTTCCTGATCATTATGTGTTTATTTCAGACATGCAGAGTAATAGAATGTTAGTGTTCCTTTTTCTAATTTAAAACATTTTCAGTGATTTGAAATGGTCATTTATGTAGGTGATTTACATATATTTATATATATATTTTTTTCCTTTTAGATATGGAGTGTGGTCCTCCGAGAATTAATGATAAACTAATGAGATTCTTTGATCATTGTGAGAAGTTTTTAACTGAGGTGGAAAGGAATGCCACAGCTCTTTATCATATAGAAGCCTTCAAAACTGGACCAGAAATGCAGAACATTTTAAAAAAAGTTGCAGCTATTTTGCAAGTGCCAGTAAATTCTTTAAATGCAGGTAATATGCTTCTTATCTTTTGTTTGGATTGGTTTAAATAGTTTTGAATTGTAAAAATGAAAAATTAAGGCAACATAAAATTATTTCCTTAAAGGGCCCACAATTAAATGTACATTAAGAAAATAATAATGTTCTGGGACCAGCAGTTGGTGTAATGTCTTGCCAGCCACCCAAGTTTATTTTATAGGAAATCATTATAATACTGAAAATTTTCTTATTTTTTTTAACTCTTTTAAATGATAAGTTCTGATTAACTGACTAAGGCTGGGATGGGTGTCAAGATCTTAGCACAGTGAACATTTTGTAGTCTGTTTTTCACACTTGAGAGTTATTTTATTTATTTTGCTTGTTTGTTTATAAGCCCGAATGTATTTGCTCCCCAGAGACAAAGAGGGAGAAGAGCACCCTCTAATGGGATGTAGTCATACTGCATTTCTTTCTCTGTCTCTTCATCCTTTTGGGATTTGAGGCATGCATACACATGTACTTGGCATTTTTCAAGCCACTGTGCCAGAATTATAATTGTGATCAACCATGTGGGATATGGCCCTCTAATACATTAGACCACAGGAGTAGCTCAGAGAGTTATTTTAATTAGTCATTTTAATTTTTTGCCAATTTGACTAATGAAAATTGGTATCTAGTTTTAATTTGCATTTCTTTGATTACTTTTAAAAGTAAACATCTTCTATTTATTAGCCATTTGCATTTCTTCTGAAAATTGCATTTTAATAACTTTGTCTACTTTCTATTAGATTATATATTTTTAAAATTGATCATAGATCATATATGTTATGGATATGTTAGTTATATATGTTAATTAATAAATTTGCCTGACAAAAGATTAGTCCTTTGCTTATTATATGTTACTTTTTTTTTTTTTTAGGTTTTTGCCACAGGATACGTCCGCTCACTAGGGAGACAGAGAGAGGGAAAATGAGAAATCGTCTTTGGAGGAATGATAGCCACACCACAATCCCTTCTCTTCCACTCTCTTCTCTGGATTCTGAGCATGTACCCACACACGCCCACCATGATTTTTAAGCGACCCAGGTCTGGGACTCTAACTGTAGTTGGCCATGTGGGAGTCTAGCACCTTAACCACCATACCACCCTGTGGCCCCACTAATATTTTTTCTTAATTTGTGGCTTACCTTTGATTGTACAGAAATTTGCTTTTATTTTACAGCCATGTCTGGCTTTTGAGTTTTGTATTTTGTCTAGTAACCCATTTTTAACCTAGGGCTACTGTATTTTCCTAGTGTTTTCCTTTATTATTTTCTTTAATGTCAAAGTCTATAATCCATTTGCAATACTTTCAGGGTTCCAAAAAATTGACCAAGAATTTAGAAAGAGGGAACAGCAGTTAGCGTAATGGCTATGTCGCTGGACTCCCACGTAGTTGACCGTGGTTCAAATCCCGGACCCAGTGACTTAAACTCGCCGGGCGCGTGTGTGTGTGCGTGCCCAGGATCCCGAGAGGAGAATGGAGGAGAAGAGATTGCGGCATGGACATACCCCCTGGGGAGTGGTTTCTCACTTTCTGTCTCTCTGCCTCTCTCTTTCTGGTGAGCGCACGCACCCTATATACTTTGCTTTTTAGATGTTTCTTTTTTTTTTTTTTAGGTTTTTGCCACAGGATACGTCCGCTCACTAGGGAGACAGAGAGAGGGAAAATGAGAAATCGTCTTTGGAGGAATGATAGCCACACCACAATCCCTTCTCTTCCACTCTCTTCTCTGGATTCTGAGCATGTACCCACACACGCCCACCATGATTTTTAAGCGACCCAGGTCTGGGACTCTAACTGTAGTTGGCCATGTGGGAGTCTAGCACCTTAACCACCATACCACCCTGTGGCCCCACTAATATTTTTTCTTAATTTGTGGCTTACCTTTGATTGTACAGAAATTTGCTTTTATTTTACAGCCATGTCTGGCTTTTGAGTTTTGTATTTTGTCTAGTAACCCATTTTTAACCTAGGGCTACTGTATTTTCCTAGTGTTTTCCTTTATTATTTTCTTTAATGTTAAAGTCTATAATCCATTTGCAATGCTTTCAGGGTTCCAAAAAATTGACCAAGAATTTAGAAAGAGGGAACAGCAGTTAGCTGGACTCCCACGTAGTTGACCGTGGTTCGAATCCCGGACCCAGTGACTTAAACTCGCTGGGCGCGTGTGTGTGTGCGTGCCCAAGATCCCGAGAGGAGAATGGAGGAGAAGAGAGTTTAGAAGGGTCATAATAGATGAGTCAGAACTGTAGCTTGTCAAGTAAGTTTGTCTAACCTTATTTTGTAGGTAAGGAAACAGACCTAGAGAATCTAGAGTGATTGTAGCCAGGATAACAGGATAATTAATGGCAGAATCAATTCTGAGAGCCTTGGTCTTCATCTCCTGCTCTTTTTCCCTATACTTCAAAATGCTTTTTGGTATTCTTTTTTTCCAGTGAACTTTTTTTCCGGTTAAAGCATATACCATTTGACCGACTTTCATAATTTCAGAACTAAAACTTTGAGAGTAAAGGAACCAGGTTCCTTCATGAAATACACATGGTACTTACAAGCCATTATATCTTTATATATTAGGTATTGGGATCATAAAACCTTTCTTTCTCATAAGCAAAGTTTTGAATGGCTTTTATGTATATTCCCAATGAAATATATTTTTAGTACTGTATATTATCTTACAAGAATTCTTTAAATTCAGAACTAGTGTAAAAAGCTTGTAAAAATCAATTAGTTTTTGGTCCCATTTTTCTCTGAGAAAAGAAGAAAGATGGTAAAGTTAAAAGAAAAATCCAAGCAATGGCAGCAACCCCTGTAGTTGAGTTCTTTCTCTCTCCCTGGGGTTAAATAGTACCCACTTCCCATTGACTTGAGAGTTTTTATTTACTCTGCCAAAGGTTCTCTTTGTATCCCAAACACTTATTCCCCTCTTCCTTCTCTTCAATACCCCGATGTCTGTAGGAAATGTAATCAAGGCTAGTATTGGTGGCACAGTGATAACACAATCCTCCCTGATGTTGGACTCCGTGGAAGGGTCTTAGGTTTGCATCTGGAGTCTCTTGTATAAGCTATACTTATATACGCATGCCTGTGATCCACAGTGACTGAGGCTGGGAGTGGATCATGGAGTGAGCACCCTATTGGGGGAAGCTTGTCTCTCCCACTCCATCTTACGGAACAGATAAAAATTAAAAAATAATAAAAATAGTATAATCAGCACATTAGCCTTGTAGAGCTCCCAGTAACCTGTTCCAAAATCTTTTGAGCAGCTAAGTTTGAAAAATATGCTGTCACCAATCTTTCTCTTCTTTAGTTAGTGGTTTCTCCTTATGCTCCTTGTTTCACCTTTCTCCTGCCCTCTCATTTACTGTCCTTTTTCTTACCTCTATATCTTCAACAGTCTCTCTCCACATTTATATCTTCTTTTAAAAGTCCTATGAATTACTGTATAGTTTTAAAAATTGCTAAATAAGTTTGCTTTGTGATTTCTAATTTTTTGGATGCAGACTAGAATCCTTATAACTTTAGCTCTCTTCTTCCAGCGCTCTAAAATTAACAAAATTTATGTTTTACATAATAAATCTTCTGGTTAAACTTTTTGTTGGATTTACCAGGCAAATAAACTTAACAAATATATTACCTTGAAAAGCAGGAAAACATGGCCATTTATAGAAAGTTTTAGTATTTTGGACTGAAATCTATACCTCCTCATAGTTTCCTCTTGACAGCTCCAGTTCTGCCACTTTAGGTTGTACAGAGCAAATCATGATTCTTTGATAGCCAGGAGGTAACTAAATGGTCTCTTCTTGGGACCAGCAGATAGTGTATGGCTATGTCCCTGAACTCCCATTTAGTCGACTGTGGTTCGAGTCCCGTACCGGGTGGCTTAAACTCACACTAGGCACATGTGCGTGCATACCCAAGATCCCAAGAGGAGAATGGAGGAGAAGGGATTGTGATTTCTCGCTTTCTGTCTCTCTGTCTATCTCTGTCTTTCTGGCGAGCACACGTGCCCTATAGCACAAACTTCTCAAAAAAAAAAAAAAAGTCTCTACCACAAACAAAACAAACCCATTTTTTTTTTGCAGCCGCACTACACATAACATTCTATAGATATTTAGACTTAGAAAAATTACAGAAAATAATCATCTATAACATTTTACCCCCACTCTTTTTTTTCCAGATTTAATTCAGGTAGCTTTCTTCACCTGTTCATTTGACCTGGCAATTAAAGGTGTTAAATCTCCTTGGTGTGATGTTTTTGACATAGATGATGCAAAGGTAAGTATTACTTTTGTAGTTTGCTTTTTTAATTTTTGGTTACTTGAAGCAGCACTCTAGGACATAAAGTAGAGTTAGGAAACATAAACTGTCTTGTGACTAACTCATAACTTCCCTTAAATAAAAAGAGTAAATGTTCAAGTTAAGTGTTTGCTATTTGTAAATAGTTCAGATTCATAAAGCTTTGGCACATTTTTTTTTTTTATTTTGATGATGTCTTCTAGATCTATCCAGTCAAAAGTCTATTTAACCTGTCATCAGATTTTACTGCTGGAAGGAGTGTGTAGAGCTGGTATAATCCAAATTCTCCTCTTTATGGGAAGCGATATTCAGAGAAGATAAATTGTTTCCAAAGACCTATTTGTTTTATAACACTTTTCATTAGAAATTAAGTTCTGTGTTCTACCTGATGGTGGCAGTAATTCATCTACAATTCCTATCTGCCATTTTACTGTTTCTCTTTATTCATATAACGCTGACTTTTAGACTTTGGGAAGAAAAGGACACACAGGCCTCTGGCTACTTCAAAGGAGGCAAATTCTAGTCAATTCTGAAGTGTAGGAAACTAGAGAGAAAGGGCAGGAGAGTGCTATTTTCCTTAGTATTGTAAGTAGGGATCGTTCAGTAGGGCGGACTTCTGAAACCTTATTCCTTGCATACGTATAAAACCTTCAGTATTAAATATGGAAATTAATTATTAACTTCAAAATTTACTGTCAGATTTTGAATAGCTATGTTGTGTACTATGTACCAGATAAGGCAGACTTTTCAGCTAAGAGCTAATGTATAGCTGTAGGAAAACAGATGCTTTATTTTGTTACTCAAAGATTTAAGTGACCAGCAACAGATCAAAGGTAATACAGTTACTGTGCCCATGTGGGTGTGAGGCCTAATGGGTAATTTGGAAAAAGAAGAAGAAGAATTGCTGTACAGTGTTGAGCACCCATAGAAAGTAGTTGTATTATTTTCCCTTCTCTGTTCCTAAATCACTTCCTGGTGACTTGCTGTTTTAATGTCCAGGGTCAGTACCCTACTCATCTTTAACCATCTGTCATGCATCACTTCAGAAAGCTTCCTGGCTTACCCTCCTTTATGGTATCCTGTGCTTAGAGTGGCTATTATTTAAATTGGATCACTTTTCAAAGTGAAAGGGGTACTGTTAATTATACCAGTGTAGGTATAAACTAAGACTTATGGTCACCATTCAGGTGTGTCAAAATAACCTTTTTTTTTTTTCTATCCCTAACCAGATCACTTCTTAGGGAAAAAATAATTGAAGTATTTTTCAGTATTGCATAAATGATAGGAGTTGGCAAAAGAGAAATTTACCTTTTGACACAAGACCTTCTCCTTTGCCCAGGTCACTTGGGTTGTTGGAATGTGTGACATAATTTACCTGGCTATGCGATATCTGACCCTTTTCTACTCTGAGTACCTGTGTTCATATAGTCCCTACTTCTAAAGATTGACAACTCCTGGTTCAAATGCAAATTGCATTTTTTTTTTTTGAGAGGTTTTCGCTATAGGGCGCGTGCGCTCGCCAGACAGACAGAGAGAGACATAGAGACAGAAAGCGAGAAATCACCCCCTTTTTCACCCGGGCCCTAAAGAAAAAGGTTCTAAAAAAAAAAAAAAAAAAAAAAGTCTCTACTCCAAACCAAACATACCCATTTTTTTTTGCAGCCGCACTACACATAACATTCTATAGATATTTAGACTTAGAAAAATTACAGAAAATAATCATCTATAACATTTTACCCCCACTCTTTTTTTTCCAGATTTAATTCAGGTAGCTTTCTTCACCTGTTCATTTGACCTGGCAATTAAAGGTGTTAAATCTCCTTGGTGTGATGTTTTTGACATAGATGATGCAAAGGTAAGTATTACTTTTGTAGTTTGCTTTTTTAATTTTTGGTTACTTGAAGCAGCACTCTAGGACATAAAGTAGAGTTAGGAAACATAAACTGTCTTGTGACTAACTCATAACTTCCCTTAAATAAAAAGAGTAAATGTTCAAGTTAAGTGTTTGCTATTTGTAAATAGTTCAGATTCATAAAGCTTTGGCACATTTTTTTTTTTTATTTTGATGATGTCTTCTAGATCTATCCAGTCAAAAGTCTATTTAACCTGTCATCAGATTTTACTGCTGGAAGGAGTGTGTAGAGCTGGTATAATCCAAATTCTCCTCTTTATGGGAAGCGATATTCAGAGAAGATAAATTGTTTCCAAAGACCTATTTGTTTTATAACACTTTTCATTAGAAATTAAGTTCTGTGTTCTACCTGATGGTGGCAGTAATTCATCTACAATTCCTATCTGCCATTTTACTGTTTCTCTTTATTCATATAACGCTGACTTTTAGACTTTGGGAAGAAAAGGACACACAGGCCTCTGGCTACTTCAAAGGAGGCAAATTCTAGTCAATTCTGAAGTGTAGGAAACTAGAGAGAAAGGGCAGGAGAGTGCTATTTTCCTTAGTATTGTAAGTAGGGATCGTTCAGTAGGGCGGACTTCTGAAACCTTATTCCTTGCATACGTATAAAACCTTCAGTATTAAATATGGAAATTAATTATTAACTTCAAAATTTACTGTCAGATTTTGAATAGCTATGTTGTGTACTATGTACCAGATAAGGCAGACTTTTCAGCTAAGAGCTAATGTATAGCTGTAGGAAAACAGATGCTTTATTTTGTTACTCAAAGATTTAAGTGACCAGCAACAGATCAAAGGTAATACAGTTACTGTGCCCATGTGGGTGTGAGGCCTAATGGGTAATTTGGAAAAAGAAGAAGAAGAATTGCTGTACAGTGTTGAGCACCCATAGAAAGTAGTTGTATTATTTTCCCTTCTCTGTTCCTAAATCACTTCCTGGTGACTTGCTGTTTTAATGTCCAGGGTCAGTACCCTACTCATCTTTAACCATCTGTCATGCATCACTTCAGAAAGCTTCCTGGCTTACCCTCCTTTATGGTATCCTGTGCTTAGAGTGGCTATTATTTAAATTGGATCACTTTTCAAAGTGAAAGGGGTACTGTTAATTATACCAGTGTAGGTATAAACTAAGACTTATGGTCACCATTCAGGTGTGTCAAAATAACCTTTTTTTTTTTTCTTTTCCTAACCCAGTCCACTCTTAGGGAAAAAATAATTGAAGTATTTTTCAGTATTGCATAAATGATAGGAGTTGGCAAAAGAGAAATTTACCTTTTGACACAAGACCTTCTCCTTTGCCCAGGTCACTTGGGTTGTTGGAATGTGTGACATAATTTACCTGGCTATGCGATATCTGACCCTTTTCTACTCTGAGTACCAGTGTTCATATAGTCCCTACTTCTAAAGATTGACAACTCCTGGTTCAAATGCAAATTGCATTTTTTTTTTTTTGAGAGGTTTTCGCTATAGGGCGCGTGCGCTCGCCAGACAGACAGAGAGAGACATAGAGACAGAAAGCGAGATGGTCACGCCGCAATCCCTTCTCCTCCATTCTCCTCTTGGGATCTTGGGCACGCATGCACACGCGCCCGGCATGAGTTTTAAGCCACCGGGTCCGGGACGCAAACCGCGGTCGACTACGTGGGAGTCCAGCGACATAGCCATTACGCTAACAGCTGGTTCGCCAAACTGCATTTTTTTGTGGTAAAAGTACATAATCAGCCTCAGCTTCTTCATCCCTACTTAAACTTCTTTCAGTTAATCCCTTGCCTTCCATTTACTCTTGCTTTGTGTGCATTTCTGTCTTCTGATAAGTAGTTCGATTCATTGTAGAAGCCCTGGAATTCAAGACCTGGATTACAGTAATGCTTAATCTTTCTGTTCTTGATTCCACATATATTAAATGATGTAACCACTGGGACCAGCAGATGCCGTAATGGTTATGTTGCTGGACTCCCACGTAGTCGACTGTGGTTCTTGATCCAGACCTGGTGGCTTAAAACTCATGCCAGGTGCGTGTGTGTGCATTTCCAGAATCCTAAGAGGAGAATGGAGAAGAAGGGATTGCAGCGACCATCCCCGCTGTGGGATGATTTCTCGCTTTCTGTCTCTCTGTCTTTCTCTGACTCTCTGGCGAGTGCATGCACCCTATCACAAAAATCTCTCGAAAAACAAACAAAAAAAGAATTCTGTGATTACATTGGACTGACCCATATAGTTCAGGATAATCTTCTCATTTCAAGATACATAACTTTATCACACCTACAAATTCTTCTTTATTGTATAAGGTAACATATTCATTGAACATCCAGGAATTAGGGTATAAACCTCATGAAGAACCGTTCATTCTGTCCACACCATATATATAATTTTCTTTTTTTGCAGCTATCAGGATACTTTATCCTTAAATATTTGGGCATGCATCTATACTGGAGCATTCCCCTACAATACCACAACATACCATAGTATACATACATATATATAATGCATAATACAGTATTATCTATTCTGTAGCTAATTTTCAAGTTTTTACACTTACCTTCATAAGGTCCTTTGTAGCCAATCTTAAAAAAATAATAATAATAATCTAATCAGGGATCCCTTATTGCATTTGGTTGTTGTGTGCTCTTAGTCTCTTAATCTAAAGAATGTTCTAGCCTTTCTTTTTCCTTTTATTTCTTTTCCTTCCTTTTGGAGTAGTGTAAGCCAGTTTTTTTGTAGAATGTCTTAGGATATGTCTGATCTTTTCTTTATGATCAAATTAAACAGTTTTGACAAGGATATTACATAAGTGATATATTTTTCTTAGTGCATCACATCAGAAGGAGAATGATGTCAATGTGTCACATCATTGGTGATGTGCTTGATCACTTGATTAAAGTGGTACCTGCCAGATTTCTCTAAATTGTAGAGGTACCTTTTTCCTTTTTAAAACTAAAGAACTTCTCATTTAAATGACCATGATTTGAAAAATCAAAATTTATGTTTATTATTTTAATTGAATAAGAATTCCCGTTTTAAATATCAAAACCAAAGTGTTTACATTTTTCATTTAAAATGTAAAGTT